CCAGCCTCCAGGTAAGGACAACACATGCTGAATCCATTATGCCAACTTGCCTTGTTTTCTTGGCTCCCCATTCTTGGCACTGGCTGGCCTGGGAGAACAGACCCACAGCTCAGTCCGGCTCTTGGAAAACTTAAGCCCTGAACGCAGCAGCAGCACGTGCAGTGGACAGGAGGGGTTTGGTCTGGTCTTGATCTTTCCTTCCTCCCTGGAGGAGTGTGGAAGCTGCGCTCCCATCTCGCACTGAAACCCGAACCCCATCAGCTTCTCCAAACAAACCAAACATGTGAGGGAACTTTTCAAGAGCTGAGTCAGTTTATGGGGAGACTTGGGGTCAGTTCTCAGTTCATTGGAAGTGATTCTGTCCAGTATCTTCATCAATGATTTAGATAATGGCATAGAGAGGACACTTATAAAGTTTGCTGACGATACCAAGCTGGGAGGGGTTGCAAGTGCTTTGGAGGATAGGATTAAAATTCAAAATGATCTGGACGAATTGGAGAAATGGTCTGAAGTAAATAGGATGAAATTCAATAAGGACGAATGCAAAGTACTCCAAATGCAAAATGACTGCCTAGGAAGGAGTACTGCGGAAAGGGATCTGGGGGTCATAGTGGATCACAAGCTAAATCCAAGTCAACAGTGTAACGCTGTTCCAAAAAAAGCAAACATCATTCTGGGATGTATTAGCAGAAGTGTTGTAAGCAAGACACGAGAAGTAATTCTTCCGCTCTACTCCAGTTTGATACGGCCTCAACTGATAGAGGTATATAAAATCATGAGTGATGTGGAGAAAGTGGATAAGGAAAAGTTATTTACTTATTCCCATAATACAAGAACTAGGGGTCATCAAATGAAATTAATAGGCAGCAGGTTTAAAACAAATAAAAGGATGTTCTTCTTCACACAGCGCACAGTGAACTTGTGGAACTCCTTACCTGAGAAGGTTGTGAAGGCTAGGACTATAACAGAGTTTAAAAGAGAATTGGATAAATTCATGGTGGTTAAGTCCATTAATGGCTATTAGCCAGGACGGGTAAGGAATGGTGTCCCTAACCTCTGTCTGTCAGAGGATTGAGATGGATGGCAGGAGAGCGATCACTTGATCATTGCCTGTTAGGTTCACTCCCTCTGGGGCACCTGGCATTGGCCACTGTCGGTAGACAGGATACTGGGCTAGATGGACCTTTGGTCTGACCTGGTACGGCCTTTCTTATGTTCTTATGAGTATTGTGTCCTGTTCTGGGCACCACATTTCAGGAAGGATGTGGACAAATTGGAGAAAGTCCAGAGAAGAGCAATGAAGGTCATGAAAAGTCTAGAAAACATGACCTATGAGGGAAGATTGAAAAAATTGGGTTTGTTTAGTCTGGAGAAGAGAAGACTGAGAGGGGACATGATAACAGTTTTCAAGTACATAACAGGTTGTTACAAGGAGGAGGGAGATACATTGTTCTTCTTAACCTCTGAGGATAGGACAAGAAGCAATGGGGTTAAATTGCAGCCAGGGAGGTTTAGGTTGGACATTAGGAAAAACTTCCCAATTGTCAGGGTGGTGAAGCACTGGAATAAATTGCCTAGGGAGGTTGTGGAATCTCCATCACTGGAGATGTTTAAGAGCAGGTTGGACAAACCCCTGTCAGGGATGGTCTAGATAATACTTAGTCCTGCCTAGAGTGCAGAGCACTGGACTAGGTGACCTCTCGAGGTCCCTTCCAGTCCTATGATTCTATGATTCTGCCCTCCCAGATTTACAGGAATTGCCTTACCAGGGCAGGTCCATGGTCCTTCCAGCCCACTGAGCTGCCTCTGATGGTGGCCAGTTCCAGATGCTTCAGAGAAAAGTGAAAGAAACCCCATATTGGGGCCGTTATGGGAAAAAGTTGCTCTGAGGGGACATTTCTGCCTAAGCCCAGACAGGTAATGGTTGGGTGATGCCCCCGAAGGGTTTTTAATCCCTTATATTTAACTGTAGATATCCATCTAACTGCAAATCTTCTTCAAATTGTACGGAGCTCCTGGCCTCAATAATAGCTACGTAAGTGCAATGTGGTTCTGACTTTCTATCGACTGGGATGTCTCCTCACTAGTGACGATGAGACCTGGCAGTGCAGAGCTTAGATGGGCTTCAGCTCCCATGGAAATATTCCTCTTTTCCCCCACAAGCGAAACCTCCTGAGATGCCAGCTGCGCCATCTCGCAAGACCTCAGACATCCTCTGCGCCCTGCTCGTTGTTCTGAGCGTGGCTCTGGGCACCTCCCTCATTGCAGTGACCGTCATGTGTAAGTTCCACACAAGCGCAATGTTTAATTCCAGGTTCTTGTTTCGAAACACAAGCAAAACTGATGTGACGTTTCTATTAATGGAAGGGGCAGGGGGGTGGGGATCCAGGCTCTCCGCAGCATCCATAGATGAAGTGGTTCACAAAATCAGAGCCTCTCTGCAGCCCACCACCACCTTGGACACCTCAAAGGAGCTGGACAGTAAGTGGGGGAGCTAGGTGTGCGCTTTCTGCCTTCTCTAGCTTGGGGACATTAGGTTCTGGTTCTTGAACTTTCACGTTCTGGGGCTCTGGGTGTATCTCACACAACCCGAATCGTACTGATGGGATCAGAGTGCCCTTCAGCTGTCCAGGAGGCACTGGGCCGAGTAAATATTATTAACCCTCTGGCAGTGACTGAGCGTAAAAGCCGATCTATGGATGAGATTTGTATGCGGCAAAAGAACAGGAGATGGGCCTGAACCAACACCCTGGTACTGACCAGGCCTGAACGCTGGCGGGTTCCAAATCCCGGCCTGGATGGCTCAGGCCCAGGGACATTCCTGTAGCCCCAGTTTGTCCGCAGGCTGCAGGTGACCCACCCGGAGTTCCAGAGGCAGGAGGGAGTGGGGAAGAGGCGGCACTGCTCATCTCCTTGTGCCCTGGGTTGGCTGGGGGCTGTGGTTTAAGGCTAAGGATGGCTGTGTGGATAGGGTGCTGGGTTGGGATTCGGGTAACTTGGTTTCAAGTTCTGGGCACGTCTCCCTGCACCTCAGTTCCCCATCGGGAAAATTATCCTTTATTTCTCCCACCTAGAGTCGATTTTGACTGTGAGCTGTTGAGAGCAGGGACTGTCCCCTCCTGTCCGTACAGCGCCTGGCACACAGGGGCCTGCAGGTGCTGCTCTACTAGACGTGCTGCTAATCAAGTGTTCTGCATCTCCACTGAAGTCGCTGTGACTTTCTTCTAGGTCTGCAGCTATTGGACGAAGCGCAGGCAGGAGTCCGGATGCTGAAAGCCCAGCTGGGTAATGTCAGTGCAGCGTATGGAGAAATCCAGATCCGTTCGGACGGTGCAGCGCGAGGAGCAGTGCAAGGTCGCTGCAGTAAGTACTAGCTGCAGCGCTGGCTGGTGCCGTTTCTCCTGGTGCTGATGGTGAACGGAGGATTTCAGGCTCCAGGGCTGACAGCGCAGCGCCTTTCACCAGCACCGAGTTCTCTTCCATTAAAAATCACCGGTGGCTGCACCTGGGCCCACACCGTGGTGATCTGTGTGGAGTTAAATTACACCCTGGGCCTCGTTAGCCTAATGGGAGCACCCAGCTACCAGCTCTTCTTAGATGCTCCAAACCCGTCAGGTCACAGGCAAAAAGTGATACTGGCATTTCAGCGTATGGGGCGTTACTTTCAGACCCATCACTGAGCCAGCGCCCCCGGCAGGGTGTTTGGGGAGATGTCAAAGTGCAAAAGACCCGAGACTTTCACCACTTAAGATAACTGAAAATTGTTGATGCAGAACCAGGTGATGTTCCACCTTGGGCAGCTACATTCCCCCTCCTGAATTCCCCCTGCCAGCTCAGCTGAATGGTGAGTCTCCCCTTTCCCATTACAGCCGTGCTGCTCTGCACTGGGACCAGCGCCCATGCTCCAGCCCAGATGCAGCTGCATTTCAGTGAGGGGGAGTGACCCTGTGGTGTCTGCTTTCTCCAGCGCTCTTTGGGATCCATCATGTGGCCACAAAAGTTACTTATGTGATGCTGGAGAATCAGGATTCAGAAGTTCTCTGGGCTTGGGGGCAGCTGAAGGGCAGGGGAAATGCAGCACTAGAAACCCTGAGCTCCCTGCGTGTGTCCCTGTGACATTAGCCCGGGCGTCTCACCTCAGTTTCTGCTCCCAGGTGACGTGCTGACAAAGCTCTCCAGTGGCTGGAGGTTTTATGGTGGGAACTTCTATTACTTTTCACCAGAGAAAGTCGTGGGACGAGGCCGAGCGGTTCTGTGTCTCTCAGGACTCGCACCTGATCTCTGTCTCCTCCCAGGCAGAACAGGTGAGTGCAGGAAGCTCCTAGGGGCTTGGACAATGGGTCAGTGCCTTGTTTCATACCAGAAGGAGGTGGAAGGTGGCAGCTGAGGTTGGAAACCATCGGAGAGGATGCCAAGTCTTGGAACCTGATTCAGGTGATTCACCCATCAGTTTAAAAGCAGAGATGGGGCAGAGGAACAGTGCCAGGATCTGAACTTCCCGGAGTCTGAGGTGTCAGGGGAGAGGGGTTTGGGGTCGGGCTCATTTCTGATTTTTCCCTACTTCCAATGTAGCATTTCCTGCAAACCCAATGAGCTTTCCCAGTGACCACCCGCTTAGATCCCTCTCCCCAGTCCGAGGGCTCAGGGCGGGAGAAGCCCCAGTGCCCCGACCCCACTTCCCAGCAGAAGCACCAGGCAGCAGGAGAAGGCCTCCCCACCCAGACCCACACCCTGTGTGGTCTCAGGCCTGGGGGAGCTCATACTCCCCGCTGCAGCCCCAGGGCCATGGTGAAGGTACAGAGCTTCTCCGGTCTTGGGGCCGCCGTGCGGGGTTGGCCAGGAAGGAGCAAACGGTTGCCAGGCTGCAGTTAGGGTTGCCAGGAGTCCGGTTTCCGACCAGAACACCCAGTCCCAAAGGGACCCTGGTGGCTCCAGTCAGCACCACTGACTGGGCCGTTAAAAGTCCAGTTGGCGCAGAGCTGGCAGGCTCCCTACCTGGCTCCACGCGGTTCCCGGGAAGCGGCCGCCATGTCTCTCCGGCTCCTAGGCATAGGGGAAGCCACGGGGAATCCATGTGCTGCCCTCACCCTGAGCGCCGGCTCCATGGCACCGATTGGCTGGGAACGATGGCCAATGGGAGCAGGGGTGCTGGAACAGTTTGAATAGTCGGGGTGCTGACAGCCATTGAACCAAACTGTTAACCCTGTACATAACGGAAGCCACTTGAAGTCAGGGGGTGCTGCAGCACCCCCCCACCTCTACTTCCAGCACCTGTGAATGGGAGCTGCGGGGGCAGGGCCTGCGAGTGGGGGCAGCATGAATAGCCCCCTAGCCGCATCTCTGCCTAGGAGCCAGAGGGACATGCCGGCCGCTTTCTGGGAGCCGCCTGAGGTAAGCGCCACAGGGAGCCTGCACCCCACACCTCCTCCAATGCTCCAATCCCCTTACCACATCCAAAGTCCTGTCTGGAGCCCGCCCCCCACCCTTTCCCATACCCCTTCCTCATCCCTGAGTCCCCTCCTGCACTCTGAATTTCTTGGCCCCACCCCGGCGCCCCCTCCTGCACCCAAAACCCCTCATTCCTGGCCTCACCCCAGAGCCTGCACCCCCAGCCGGAGCCCTCAGCCCTCCCGCACCCTAACCCCTG